GGGGCGGGGGGGAGGGACCTCGCGGTGCTGGCGCTGCAGCTCTTGGAGCTCGCGGCGGATCTCCTCGGCCGTCTTCTCCGCCGCGGCGGCCATCGGCGGCGGCGAAGGGGAGGGAGGGAGGGTTTGGCTGCTGCGCGAGGGAGGGAGGATGGGGCGGGCGGATGCGTTGTCGTTCGGGGGGCTTGGATGCCCTAGGATGCGGTGCGTGGATGCGAGTGGTCTCGGCCGTTGGATCTTTGGCGTGCCGTCTCCGTCGCGGTTGGGCCGTGGTCGCCTCGCCGGGTCGGTTGTTGCGGTCGGCTCAGATCAATACACTGGGTGCGAGTGCGACCAAACTTCTAAATTTTCAAAAAATGATGGATTTTATTAGCTCAAAATGCAGCATTAAGAAAATACAAACATGATAAGCATACATCCAGCCAACACCAATCCACATAAAAAACACGCCAGCAAATAGTAAAGTCATATAAGACCAAAGCTATGCATGGGCGGCGAGGAAAAAAAAAGTGATCAGCTCTGTGAACAGAAAACTATAGGAAAGACCATATTCGCGGCAACCGTCTCAAGACACCATATGAACATCGTGATTCTTCAACAGCAACGCCTTCAGAAAGGGAGCAACGCTGAAACGTTGTCGTCACTGGATCCAGCAGTCAACGCGGAATCTAGGTTTTCACCCTGAAGAAATTGTCCGAGCATATTCGAGCAATGCCTTCAACAAGGTAACGATGTATAACCATCGCCATTGCCAGAATTCAAATCAGGGCTTTCACCCCGGAGCTCGATACCGGGTACTTAAGAATCACCACTATCGACGTCATAAATGTGTTGTCGCCACCACTTTTCCACGACCCCGGTAGCACCCCAGCACCTACTGCGCCGCTGCACACCCATTCCTCTGCGTCAAGCCGGCATCCATAGTTTGCATCTCATCGCCGAAGTGAACTATCGGATCTGAAAAGATGAACTAGATCTTTCGATGTACACTGCCGCCGTGGAGCCACAAGAGGTCGCTGCACCATCACAGTTTGCAGCCACCATCTCTAGGCCGAACAAGATCTGGATCACCGTTACCGCCCGAGATACCGCGCACAGACGACGGGAGATCGAACCGCCATCTAGCAAGGCCTGGCCCAAGCGACGCCGGAGGACGCACGCATCGGCTGGACCAAGTCCACACGTCCTAGCGTGCCGACGCGTTGCATGCCGCCATGCCCAGCAGATCCAGGTTGCCGCCGCGAGCATAGGCCAGCAAGGAGCCAGCCCGAGGCACACTCAAGGAAAATGTACTTTGGTTCCAGGGTGTAATCCGATATGGAAAAAATATTATAGTAGTTTAAAAAGTCAAAAAAGTTTTGAAATTCTTTTTGAATAAACTTGATTTTCTTTCGCACTAGTATATAAATTTTCGCGAATATAGCCCATCGTTGACTTCGGGCCAAAAGAAATATTGCTATACACAAGACACTCTTCACACTATGTTGGCCTACAAATTTTTGTTGCCCTGAAATCAACGAGGGGTTTTCTTTTCGTGATCTTTTTACAAGTACAATGAAAGGTCAAGTTTACTTTTATATATATATATATATATATATATATATATATATATATATATATATACTTTTTATTTAATTACTACTTTTCATATAGGGTGTACATACACCCATGGACCAAACGTCCGCATCTGATGTGTTTAATTATTTTTGTGCGGCGGCTCAGTCAAACGGTACGAAAAGTTATGGCAAAGCAACGATTTTTTAGCTTTTTCTAATCGTACAAAATAAAGATACAATCAAGCATCAATATCATATATGGATACTTGACATACAGTCACAACAAAGCAAAGCCTGGCATCCAGCCAAACATAGCAGCAAAGCATCCAGCTATAACAAAGGCATAGCATTGAAGCATCTTGGCCATAACAAAGCAAAGCTAAATTAGTGCTAAATCACTCTATGGCTCGCCATTAGCGACAAAATCCATTTCTAGCGAAACACGCATAGCGTTAGGGTGATGCCCCTCTAAACGATACAACCAACTATTTGAACTTTGAGTCTAATTATCTGAGATGTACAATTTGTTTATTAGTTTCTTCACGAATGACCGAAATCTCTATTGACTCAAACAGGGTTACATCTGCATAAATGAGAAAGATGTGGCAATACACTATAGAACCTAATGTAGTAAAACTTTTATCTGGCTTATATATTAGATAAAAAGAACACCAGGTACATACATGTAAGAGCCCACACTACAAAAACAAGGACCACCTTGACCTTATTCGAATTCACATCGTGTTTTACAATGAATGATCTAGACCCCTCCATGCTTTGAGGCCAACTCTCAAATCAAAAGTTTGGGCATTGGATCAACCCAAAACCATTGAGAACTGGGTCATGTGAGCCCGATAGCATTAAGCAAGACCAACACTGATTCAGGAGACATCTCAATTTATGTAGGATTGAGCAAGGTGCACGCGGGGAGTTTGAAGACAGAGTTTAGCTCCGGCTTTGTTTCTTTTTTTGGTTGTTTTCATCTCCCGAGCAAGTTGCTGGGCATTCGAGGTGATTAAGGGGAACCCTTAGCGTTCCTACTTGCCCTTGGTGTTGTTGGTGACAATTTAGGGTTCCCTTGCACTAAGGTGTGGAGGTGAAAGCGGTCTTGGGCCTTCAATCTATAAAGGTAAAGGATTGTGTTAGGATTTATAGAAGGAAACAAGTTGATGATACTTGAATCTAACAAAAGAATAAATGTTTGATCTAGCAATCGATGATATGGAGGAAAATGGTGAGGATCTAAAAATTCTAGCAATATGCTCCACATTCAGGCTATAAATTTGCGTGAAGGTCAGCCTAGAAGCACGTGAAAGGATTGTCATTTTGATCAAGTGGTGAGAATATGTTGTAGAAGGTTTTGAGGCCCAGCAAGATGTTTAGAGGGTGATGAAAGGGATGCCATGGGCAGTGGGGAGTCTACCGTCATTTTTTTCTTTCCTGTTGCATCTTTCCCATTTGGAGAAGGTATGGTAAATTATTATTGCGCCCTGTTCTTTCTTCCGTGATTTTTCTTACACTTATTTATTCATGGTACATAATGTGGATATTTGGTTGATGCATTGTACATAAAACATGTGTGATATTAGATTCAAGGGGATATTGATTCGTGAAGAACGTATTTCAGATTATGTATGAGACAAGAATTAGGTACTATATACTTCGTGTGAAATTTAAATTTCAAAAGGTTATCCTATATCTTTCTTTCAGGGAAAGTGGTCCTATCTATGGTTGTATGTGTTAGCAGCTGACTAGTAGAGGGAAAAACCGGCAAAATGTGTCATATGAGCACGGGGGTACTGGAGCACGTTTTTGGGAAGCTCAAAAAAGGGGGTTTTAATGGCTTGAAATTTCTAATTTTTGTGTACATGCACGTATAGAAATGCAGTATAATGGGCCAAAATTTGACAAATATACATGCTTGCATGTGAGAGATTAAAAAAAGACAAATACATGCAAGTTTGGGGCTTGTTTTTAACTGCATCTGGCCGACTATTTTCTTTTGTGTGCAGCGTACAATACAGCATATTATTGACCGAAATTTCAAAGGTACTTAGACCACATGCACGCATATTTATGTAAAAAAAATCAAAACAAAATCAAAACTTTTAAGGAATTGTTTGGTGGTCAAAAAAGGTGCTCCAATGCCCCCATGTTCCAAAAGTTCGCTTTAGAAAAACCGGCTGCTTATTATGATACAGTAACCTTTGGTTGTCCATCGCTTGCAAAAAAAAGACCTTAGGTTATTCATGATCTCGCATGAACCAGTCAGCTGAAAAATTACCACTAGGCCAAATTTCACACGAATAAAATCACATGAATCGTGTGGGAAAAAACTAACTAAAAATGCTTCCATGCCTTGTAGGATCTGAGCTGTTGAATAAACCCGTCGATGCACCTCTCGTGGCATGCGCCGTCGACCACGATCTCCTGCATCTTCTTGGCGTTGGCCACGAAGGCCCTCCCGCCATCTTCCTCCACGGCGACGGCCCGCACCATCGCCGCGACGTCTTCTCGGGTGAATGATCCATCGCCTCCGTTTCTCGGCACCTGCACCTGACCTTCCTCCCCTCCACGAGCCGCGTGTTGGGCCCCTGGTCGCTAGAGATGGGCATCATGATCAGCGGATGCCCGAACAGCAGCCCCTCGATGATTGAGTTGACTCAAACAGGGTTACATCTGCATGAATGAGAAAGATGTGGCAATACACTGCGGAACCTAGTGTAGTAAGAAAGAAGTTTTCTTTTATTTGGCTTATATATTAGATAAAGATAACATCGGTTACACACATGTAAGAGCCCACACTGGGCAAAAGCAAGGACCACCTTGACCTTATTCACATCATGTGTACAATGAATGATCTAGACCCCTTTGTGCTTTGAGGCCAACTCTCAAATCAAAAGTTCGGACATTGGATCAACCTAAAACTGTCAATAATCGGGCATGTGAGCCAGATAGCATTGAGCAAGACCAACACTGATTTGGGAGACATCTCAAATTATGTAGGATTGAGCAGGGTGCACGCAAGGAGTTTGAAGATAGAGTTTAGCTCGAGGTTTGTTTCCTTTTTTTGGTTGTTCTCATCTCCCGAGCAAGTTGTTGGGCATTCGAGGCGATTAAGGGGAGCCCTTAGCATTCCTACCCTCCCTTGGGGTTGTTGGTGACAATTTAGGGTTCCCTTGCACTAAGGTGTGGAGATGAAACCGGTCTTGAGCCTTCCGATCTATAAAGGTAAAGGATGTGATTGGATTTATAGAAGGAAACAAGTTGATGATACCTGAATCTAACAAAAGAATAAAATTTTGATCTAGCAATCAATGGTATGGAGGAAAAAGATGAGCATCTAAAAATTCTAGCAATATGCTCCACATTCAGGCTATAAGTTTGCCTGAAGGTCAGCCTAGAAGGACATGATAGGATTGTCATTTTGATCAAGTGGTGAGAATATGTTGTAGAAGGTTTTGAGGCTCAGCAAGATGTTTAGAGGGTGATGAAAGGGGCACCATGGGCAGTGGGGAGTCTAGCATCATTTTTTTCTTT